CTTGCATTTGTGCAGAAACAATTACCCTCTGAGCAAAATCAAGACTCATTATATACATCGACTGACTTCAGAAAAGGTAATTTTCTTATATTAAATGTTAAAATAGCATCTGAAAACTAAAAAGAGATAATCAAATAAAAACGGCTCAGCAGTGGACTGTAGAGAAGGACACAGGCCGGCATGGTGAGTTGGCCTCTTTCCCAGGAAAATGTTCCTCAGTTCTTCTGCAGACGAACTCAAAATAGCCTCGTGCACAGAGCTTCATAACAAGCCTGATAACAAGAGCAGTCATTAAAAGCATTTCTACATCTGCCCGTAGAAAGTAGCTCAGATAATTTAGTTTTGTTTCAACCTTTGCAGTGGTGTGGAAGTTCAAATTGTCCAAAAGTGCAGTCACCTTTTTGCCGCAGTTTGAGCTCCTATGTGTTAAAGTAGCCTCCTCACTTCAAATAACTGATGGTCCTCTGTTCAAGTGCAGAGGCAGAGAAGGTCACAGGCTAAACTCTGATAACTCATTTCTCCACGGACAGTGTTCTGACTCCCAGCTCCATCACCGACGGTCACAGTGACCGTTTAGTCACATTCAGTTAGTCATCGCAGCCTGAGCTCACTCAGCTGGAGACCAGGAGATGGTCAATCCGATGATATTTCCAGGCTCAATACTTCACACTCAGCTCTCGCCGTCTGAGTGGAGAGCGGTTCTGTCTAGACAAAGTCATCACAGCCGGGCTGAGCGGGGAGGAGATGCTGATGAATCCTGACAAGGCCTGTAGGCTGCTCCTTTCATGAGCTCGCCGCTGTGAAGACAATCTGATCACCTTTCATCTGACTGTAATTAACTGGCTCCCTGGAATTGGAAGAAAAATGCTCCTTGGTTCTAATCTTTGAACCACCTTTTGAAAGCACAGTGTCCTCGGGGCTGGAGAAGAAGAGAAATCATGTTGAGACTTTCCTGTGACTAAGTCCGATTGTTCGGCGCTGTGACTCCGCGGAGCTGTGGGGCGGCTCTGGTGAGAAAGAAATGAGTTAAGTGCGAACTCTTTGCCACCGAGTGTTGCCCCCTTAAATTCCCTCATTTAAATCATCTGTCACGGAGCCTCCGAGTCAAATCATCAGGCTCACAGTCCAACTGTTAAATTGCCTGAGTCTTCTCTCTGCATGACTTACCACAGAACAGGCCAAAAATAAAAGTGTTTCTGAGCCGTTTATAAAAGTAGTCTGCGTGTGTCGAAAGGTTTAAGGTTTGTAAAAGACTTTGCACTTTGAGTAAAGGACCAAGGATGTGATGTTTGTTGCCTCAGTGCCTCCTCCCCCTGCAGACAGGTTTACTCTAATGCTCTCACCAGCTACAGTTGTTCCGTCGGTTCGCACAATCACAGAAGTAGGAAAGTGTAGAAGTCTTGCAGAGGTTGGAGCTGCAGAGAGAATGAGGCAGAGATGCTGCAGCGACTCAGATGCCAACTCAACCTCCATGCAGTTCTAATAGCACAGACAGATTTCACTTGCAAATGTCCATAATAGGACCCTGGGGGTTTTGCCATCAATGATTGCTGAGCCTTACAAGTGTCTAAAGGGAAAGAATCTTCCAAACCCTGGCTCCCTAATTAGAAAATATTAGTGTTCGCAACAGTAGTCACATCATTTAGTTTGTGCTGTGCCTCTTAGATGAGAAAGGTTTTCATATTTAAGATATAGAAGCGCTTTTCTGTGTATTTATTACAAACAAACCCAACAACTAACTAACATGAACTTGTAATCCACATGTTCAACGTGGACCATTACTCACTGGCACCACAAGGAGCTTATGGAGGACTGAGCATGAATGAGACTGCAGCTGAATCTCGTGAGCACAGAGCTGAAGATACTGTGATATAATGAAGATGACTCACTGAGTGCAACGAAGGAACTTTTATAATACATGAAGCAAGATGCAGGCACGACACACACGTCTGATTTACTGTCACTGATCAGGGGGAGCAGCCGTGTATACACGTTGTCATAGTTACCAAATGATCTTGCATATTTGTATTGTTTGTGGAACGTCTGTGGCAAACATATCGTGTTGACTCGCAATCACAGTGTTAAGTACTTCATTGCACTACTTTCTAAAGTTCCAACTTTTATTTGATTTGTGCAAGATAAGATAATATATTATAACCTTGTGTCTAATGTACTGTCTGCATAGGGAACTGTAGATGATATAGAATTCATATAAATCGAATTTGCCCTTGATATCAAATAAATTACAGCTTGATAAAATCCTGGTTCAGTGGAGCGAGCTGCAGACGTGGTGATGAATAATTGATTTCCTGTTGGTGGTTGTAGAGAAGTGTTTAAAAAGTGAGCGTTTTGTGGGGAATCAGATGTAATCACAGCGTAAATGTGATTAGTGTGGTCATTTAATTCTGGGAGCTTTAACCACATTACAAACACGACTACGCTCTGTAGCTGATGCCTCTCCACCTGCCGTAATCTGAAGAGTCACTAAGTCACTGGAGGCCGATTACAGCGTTAATGCGCAGCGTGATGGATAGCAGGGATGGTCGGCTGTAGCTTTTTCTTATGGATTTACAGAAAGCAATTAAATTTACACGGCATGTTACACTTCTCTGGTAGGTGGTTGCAGTTTGAGTGAACCGGGAGAGCATCCATCAATCCTGCCTGACAGCTACTCACTCCGCTAAAGTCAACCCTGACACGAGAATAAGCTCCACAGCCGAGTCTTGAGTGGAAGTTTGAGCTGGTCTTCCTGCGAGAGGAGAGAAAGATGTATTGTAATATTTGGTTTTTTTGCAGCTAAGGAAGATTGGAGAGTAAATTCTGCAGCTCCGGTCACCTGCGTTAAAAACACCACGAGGCAGGACCTGAAGCTGTCGGTGTGTTTTATTTACAGACACTAACAGAGTTCAGTTTTGCTGAACCCTGAGTGTTAAATGAGATGAGATAGAGACACTCAGGGACTCATTACAGCTTCCATCCTCAGAGTCTCCCTGTGCCTCATCTCTGCAGGCTGAGGCTAAAGACTTTGGGTCAGTGGAGCTTCATGTGAGGTGAGAAGAAGGAAACTTGCAATCTACATTTATACTGATACAGACTCTGAAAAATGACACAGTATGTGAGGGGAATCTTACAAAGTGAAGGAATGAAGTTTCTCTGGGGACAGATCAGGTCTTAAGCTTTTATTTAGAGGCATCAGGGAGACTGACAAACTGTCTTCATCACCAAATCTGATTTGTCTTTGCAAAATGTGCATTGTAGGCCTATAAAGTCATGGAGTGTCTCTATTGGACACATATCTAAATGGTTGGTGTCACTTCACCTCTGTTGTGTCTCCTCAGACGGTGTCCAATGTCACAGTGAATTCTCCCAGAGATATGTTGTACCTTCCTCCAGCTGCTTATCTATCTGACCTCGTCACTCAGCCTCGGGAGGAGGGAGCAGGGAAATATGTGGTGAATTTGGACTTTATCTTTGTCTGACATCACTTTACTGTGTCGTGTGGATAAAAGAGGCCAAACAAAAAGAAAGCAGAGCTTGTAGTTGTCAGTGGATTTCTTGTTGTTTACGCTGGTGTGGCCCCTGAGCTGTGAGACTGTGACTGCTGCAGTGATTCCTCTTATCGACTCGACTGCGTCGTCCTGTTTTGTTGTTGAACTTTGTGTAACTTTGTTCAGATGAGAGTGTTTTTATCATGAAACTCCAACAAAAAAAATTTTTCTTTCCGCTCAAGAAAGAGAGAAGGATGTAGAGAAGAGCATTTGTCTTTATCTCTATCTGACTCCCACTCTTACTAATCAGTTTGCTGTTCACCATGGGACAATATCACTGTGACGAGCAGACGCTTCGATAAAAGACAATAAAACAAGATGATGGAGGCAGAACGGAGACAGACCACACCGTCCTTCTCTGTTGTTTGAATGATAGATGATGTCGACTTTAACGCCACCTGCTGGCCCGGCATGCTTGTTTGAGCGTCTGTGGACGTTTTTGTGTTTTCATCTGGTGATATTTTGTAAAACAAGGTTGTGTGGATTTTTTTTAACAGGAGGGGAAAATATCCTTCGAAGTAGTGAGCAGTGCCTCAATCTACCCTGAGCAGCTCTTTGCCTTATAGGTGGTGAACTCAGCGAGCCATTAATCAATCAATGAATCAATGAATAAGGTGATAATAATAAAATGAATGACTTGAGTCATGTATCAAAGAGCACATCTTTCATGGTCTGTGGTAAATATCTGTATTTACATGAGAGCTTATCAAGTCCTGATGACTGAGAAAGGGAACTTTGGGGTTGAGTATCTTGCTCAAGGACACTTCAGCACCCAGAAGACCAGGATCGAACCGCCAACCTTCTGGTTAGAGGACAAAGAACTGCTCGAACCCCAGAGCCACAGGCTAACCCTAATCATCTGATAATGTATCGACGAAGCAACTAATTGATTGATCGTAAGAATTAGAAACAATATTAATGACTGCACCATCAGATGCAGCAGAATCTTCCAGTCCCCCTTCCTTTGGGGATTTAATGAACCTATTGACTGAGAGGAGACCCGACAGTAGACCTGTTTCCTCTCTTACGCTCGTTCTTTTCTGCCACTGTTAACTCAGGATAAATGGAACAATAGATCATGAATTAGTTAGTGGTGACTTCGCAGTGTTTTTGACATGATGATGGCACGCTGATTGTCTTTGTGCAGAGTAAATGAGAGCAGATTTGTTTTTATTGGCTCATCCTGCTGTGTCGGGGGAAAGAAACCTCCCTCATTGTTTTTTTGTCTTTTGTTGCAGATATATGGGCAGACGGAAAGTTCAACTGTCTTCGAGATATAATCATGTGTAAATGAAAATGACAATCTGCGTCTGTAGGCGATCAGTTTCCATTAATAGTCCGTATCAGTGCCATTAATAACTCTCATCTACTGTAACAGTTAGAGATGTCAGTGGTGCATGTTTGTCATGATCAAATAATGAACGCTGACACTTGATGTTCCCGTCTCCACAGAGTGAGCTGACGTGAATCCTTGAGAGGACAAGTCTCCCGACAGGAGACAAGATGGCGTCCAACAACACCCTGCGCAGCTACTCCATCATCCCATGTTTCATCTTTGTAGAGGTGAGAGAGTCTGGGTGTGTGTGTGGGGGTGCACAAGTGTGAGTTTGAGTGATAATCGGCGCTCCACAGTTTAAAGTAGAAAAATTCATGCATATGTGCATTTTAATCCTGGTTTTGGGATTGTGCATAATGAGTTTGTGTGTGTGTGTGTGTGAGACAGAGAGAGACAATTTAACTGTTAGCAAATTACCTCTTGTGGTAAATTATACACTGCTAACCAGAGCGTTAAGTGTTGGAATGAATCGAAAACCAAAAGAGTGTGTGTGTGTGTGTGTGAGTGTGTGAGTGAGTGAGTGAGAGAGAGAGAGAGTGTGTGTGAGAAACAGTTGTGCCGCTCCCTCATACTCCATATTTAATTACCATGTCAGCTGAAAGTCCTTAATCAGAGAGAAGTCTCTGGACACGTTGCCTCAGCCTCTCAGATGAGCTCACTCTCACTCTCCTCTCTCTCTGCCACTGTCTTTATCTCTCTTCTTCTTCTTCTTCTTCTTCTTCTTCTTCACTGACCTTTGTGTCTCGCTCATATCGTCTGGCAACTGTCCGTGGTGAGAGTTCTTCGTCACCATGATGGTGACTATTGCACATGATCCTGTCCACTTTGATTCATGATGTTTTTGCAGCAGCATCAGTGGATATTGATGTTACTACATTATGTGTTATGTAAGACTCACTGTTCTTTACACGTGAGACGTCAACTCAAGAAACCCCCCCAACCTATTGATTGGTCAGACTTTAATCATTTAAATGGATCATTAAAATATGACAGATGCCGACGGCCAACAGATTATTTCTTTTTAAATTAAATTAAAAGTTTTCCATCGCTCTATTTTCACGTCCTCCCCCTCTTCTTCATACGGTTCTCTGAGGCATCCTCTCCCTCTCCCTCCCTCCCTCTGCCTGCCCCTGTTTTCTCTCCCCCTCTTTCATGTCTCTGCCATATCCTCACATTTCTGTCACACCTCCTAGTTCCTCGCTCCGTCTTCTCCTCTTTCTCACGGTGTCCCTGAAGCTCTTCCACCTCTTTTCACCTCCTATCACTCCATCATGATGCCCCTCACTCTTCCCACGTTTCTTTGTTTCTCCCTCTTCTTCTCTTACTCACCCTGCTCTGTCACGAACAGAGCAATATAAAAAAAAAGGGGCATTGATGTCACATGACCGAATAGCAGCTCACTGATTGGAGCAGCTCGGCCCTGTTGGTTCAGCGCTGCAGGCGAGTCTCACAGGGAGGATGTTTATTTATGGTGATTTGTTTATTAAGTCACGTAACTTGTTGCTTTTTTTCCCTTCGTACGTTACTTAACCTCTGGAGCTTCATCTGTTGTTTGTGGGAGTGACTGTGGGATGGAAAACAGGACTGTGAGATGTGAGGGGATTAAAATAAGACAAGGACGAGAGGCCTGGGAGTGAGAGCAACGGAGAAGGTGGGACGCAGGATAGGACGGGGAGGATGAAGACAGTATAATACAGTAGGAGAGTGAGAAGGAGGAACACGAAGAGAACAGAAATGTTCTTCTCCCTGTGTGAGATGATATATTACACAAACCCAAGTTTCATTAATCAAACTATGACCACTTGCACTTTTCAGGTGTTGTGTCCAAAAATAAAGAACACATTCTAGTCAGGCCGTAAAATAATAATCCTCACCTCCTCAACATTAAGTTTGTAAACCTCAGTAATTTTAATTCTCATTTACCAGTGTACTGTAATTATGTTCAAGGACGTCATTAATTAAAAAACAAAACAGAAAAGATTTTCCCACAGGAAGCTTTTTGATGTTGCTCCGTCTCCCTCACTTCCCGGCTGCACTGATGCAATATGTTTTTTTTCTTGGGGGGGGGGATTTAACAAGAGGCGTTTTACTGGGGAATCAATCACGTGTTCGATTTATTTTGGGAACAGCACGCACACAGCCCAATTAAAGCGGCCACAGTTTCGATAGGATACGTGTCCGAACATCACATATGCTCTGAATCATTTTATCATCACAGGAAAAAATAATGGTTTGAATATGTTGAATGTTCTTTTGGCCCCACAAGTTTAGTTCCTGGTTTACAAAGGCTGCATCATGAATCTGATCTTCACACCACCGCAGAGTATTGGATGTTACTCATGAAGCTACGTCAAGTTACAGCGTTGACGAAGGATTTCTATTAGAAATGTAAAAAAGCGATTGAATAAAATGCACAAAATACACAAAGCGTGAGAGTTTGAGCAGCCGACTGTAGCTGAGACTTCAGAAAGAGGCCGTGGAGACGACACAGCTGATGTTAGATGACTGCAGCATTAATCCAGGAGAACACATAAACATCCAGCTCTAAATGACAAACAGAGGCCTCTGATTCCAGCCTCTGATTCCAGCCTGGTGTACCTGCGTGATTAACACACCACGTGCACATCGTTAAAATAAGAACAGACGTGTAAACACGGGTCTCGTCCCAGAACAAATAGCACAAAAGCTTTAGAAAATCTGGCCTCAGCTTTGAAACAGACCTCACACAGACTGGAAACCCTGAATGGCCCAAGATGCTGCACTTAACATATTAATGAGCCTGGATGAAGAGAGGAGCTGTCTTTGATATAACTGGGAGTTTTTAGTCTATTTTATTTAAGCTGATATATAATACGGTGGTTTATTACTTTAAAAGATGAATTCTGTGTCTTATGTTCAGCCCACACGTACAGTTAGCAGCTGAATAT